TCAATTTTGGAGTGAAGTTAAAATGTTTTTGTTCGAAAACTTATCATTTATATAAGTAGAATGAAACTCAAATTTTTCAAAAAGGTTATTGCTGTAGGAATTTTTTATCGGGTTTTTTTTTTCTTTTTTTTTTTACTAAATGTAAGCAGGTTCTTTATTTAGGTCGCATTAAAACTGCACAATAAGCTGTTGGAGAGGGTCTAGGAAGCATCCCCGAGGATGATCCATGTCATTTCAGAGATGCCAACTTGATCCGGACAACAAATAAATATTTTCGAGTGGTAGTTTATTAATGTGTGATTTTTGGTTAAAAAAATTCCATTTATTAGGTTTTTATCCACCACTATTTTTAAATAATTCGAAAGCTAATATAATCCGCCACTTTTTTACAGTTAAGTCGTGCTATACCGTTTAAAAAGTGAGCAAAATTAGTCAAATATTTGCAAATTTTAATTTGTAGTTGTTTACCCGTTTTTAAATAATTCTGCCTCGTCCGGAGCAGTTGGCATCTCTGCCGATGCAATTTTTATTCTCTGCAAACGGGCTGGTTCCCCTGCTTTGGTAGCCCAACGACCTGCGAGAAGTCGAGCACTTTACGGTAGAACAGTATCTCGCACCCTCGATCGCTGCGAAGGGTGATCTAAGTGGTCCAGAAGATTTTCAATTAGTTCATGAAAATCCGATCATTAGAACAAAAGTTATCATGTTTAACTATTTATTTATTGCTTACTGTGCTCATTCATTTCTTTGCATTGTTATGCACTTCTGGTTAGCAGGCATTATACATTGTTAACTGCATTTTAAAAGTTTTATTTAGTATTTAAAAGTTTTATATAGTATTTAAAAGTTTTATTTAGTATTTAAAAGTTTTATTTTGAATTGTGCAATTTGGGTATTCATTTTGCTTTATGAATATTTTGCATTGAAAATGCTTTAACGAATTTTATATGCAGTTTTGAATTTGGAAAAAAAAATTTTAAATATCGACGAAAAGCTTTTTCTTTCATTATTTTTAAAAAATTCCTTAAAAAGAAAAAATAATGAATAAAAATCTAACATTACTGAAACTTAAAAGCATTTCACTTTGCGAAAGAATATGGCACATTTGCAAAGCAATTTTCTATCGAAGACTTTATTTGGCTGTGAATATACTATCACCGCCTCATGACAAAAACGAAGTGCTTTCATCCGTCTTGGCACCCCGTTTGGCGAGATTTGATTAACTTCATCTTAGGCCTAACGTGGCCGTCACATTTTCGAATATCGCGGAATTTAACATAAATGCTAGTTTTATATTCATCGGCCATTTTTATTTTTAAAAAAAAAGGAAAGATTGAAAGTGGGATATTACTAGTAAATGCACCTACTTAAAATAGCGGTTCTTTTCCCTTTTTTTTCTCTTCCTTTTATCATATATGGTCTCGCTTTTTCACCAATAAAGACAACCTTAATGTTTTTAAAGGAATCGGCCCGCCATTTTTAAAGCTTCCGTCTTTGGAAAAGTGTTTTTCTTTATGATATTTCGTTCCTCTTTAAAATTTCTATTTACGCTTAAGCTTCTATTTTCTTATTATATTAGGGATTAAGGCATGCATCTATTTTTTACCGCGAACTATATGAAAACTTTCTGAATATTTAACTAAGTGTCAAAAGAAATTTGCTTTTAAAGACGGCACATTATCATAATTGGTTGGACATTTTAAAATATCGCTTAATGAGTGAAGCTGAAACTTTAAATTATTTATTCAAATTATTGCCGATAGTAATTGTTAATTAAACAATCAGCTAAATAGTTCACGTTCCTGTTGAAAAAGTATTTAAATGCATTAATTTTTTAAAAATTCTTGGAAATTTTGTTTTAAATGACAAACGATTGCAATAGATTTAAAATAACTAAATAATAAAAAAAAGATTGTTACTGACTGTAAGTTCATAACGACGTGCTTCGCAAAGCTAGTTGATGCCGTTCTGAAATATTTTCCAAATTCTGAAATATTGTCCAATTGTCATTATCCATAATGGCAATTGGATACTTGCACTTTAAGAAGAAGACCTATCATACCAACACATGTGACCTATGAAATCAGCGCCAGCTAATTTTCACAAGCGAAATGGGGTGTTAAAGTTGAGCTAAGTTTCTCTACTTAACTTAGAATGTTAATTAACAATAAGTTAATTAAAAACGGAACCGTATCGCACATCGAATTAGTTGAAATATAATTCTTTCTAGTCAACGTCTCTTACTTAACTTAGATTTATTATTTGTTTATTTATTTTATTTTAACCGTGATATATTTTTTGTTTTGTGTACCTTGAAACTTCGATGCATAATTAATTTTTTATATTCTACATGGTTTCGTGCCTGTGTTTGTGTTAAATCTCTGTGTAAATATATAGTGAAAGAATTGAAATCTTTGAGAAAGAATCTTTGGAAAACAATTTATGATGTGTCACTTAAGTGAGTTCATACTTGACGGGCTTGGCTTACTCGAAATAGAAAGGAAAGAACAGTTGCTAATGAAAACAAATTCCACGTTTCAACAACCAATCAGGATCGAGATACTCGCACTAAGTCGCTTACATGTATCTTATTTCATCCCATCTGAGAAAACAAGGGTCTTTTATTTATTATTTGCTCCAGAAATTTTTTACTCCACGGAAAATTAGATTTTAATACTTGTCCCAAATTTCTCTGACTTATAAATTTTATTTAGAAACTAGGCCTTTTACGGCAAGACCTTAGTACCAGGGCTCGAAAAAATTCAGAAATTTTACCCGTCCCCAAGGACGGCTTGGTCAACAATGTACCCGTCCTCCTTTGAAACTAACTCGTCGCTTCTAAAGAAATAAAAATATAATTTTCTCTTATTTATTACAAACATTTATATAAATTGCGCAATGAATTAGTAGTTACTAGGATTACAAATACTAGGATTGCATTATACAGTAATAAAAGAAATACTAGGTTACTAATAGTAAAACCTAGTATTTCTATTATGAAATAATTTATTTTTTGATGAAATAATTTAAATAACAAAGGTTAAGTTATCTGTCAATTATCATGTCAATTTATACGATTGTACTGCGTTTTTTAAATGAATCAAATATGACTTTTGCCAGTTCCACAATCAAGCCNAACATGTCAGCCCGTTCATTTTCTAGGTAGATGTTCATAAATGCGTTTAACGCTTCTTGTTTAAGACCAGTAAGTAATGTGTTTTTTTTTTTTGTTAGTTCATTGCTGAAAAGCCCCTTTCAATCGCTGCAGTACTCCCAGACAGAGAAAACATCAATTCCACCATGCGCAGTATGCTGCTGTATTTCGAGATTAGCGGGTCATTTTAAAAGTGAGGCACTAGACTCTTGTTAGATAGCAAAAATTGAAAATGTATCACGAACATTAACGGGAAAATGGCCGTCTGCGCGGACGCTGGATTCGACAAATTTGTTGTCCGCGGGAAATTTTTGACCGCCGAGGACGGGCGGATGGGCAGTTTTTCAAGCCCTGTTTAGTACCTAAAAACTTCATACATATTTCTTAAAAACAAAATGAATCTCACACCTAAACACAAATACTTGATCCAGGAGTTCCCTTGTCTTCTGGATTGGGTTCAAAATGACAAGGATACGGAATTGAACATTAGTAGTCGTAAACCCATAAAATTGGGTCGGCTGTTCAACGACGGTTACAAAATATAAAATAACATTACTACTTAATATTACCAAATATATTTAGCACAAAACAATATTTTACACCTAAAGTTTTTTATTAAAATGAGCAATTATCTCATTCCCGCAATATAATATTTCACAACTCATCTGGGGAAAATGAGGTATTAATATCATATGGGCTATTAATTCCAACAACCTTTCCCTTTCGATTTTGCCAAAATAAAACAATTTAGAGTCTCAAAAGATATTCAGCACACCAAAGAAACGGACCACCTTGAGTAACTTTTAATCTAATGATCGGGTCTTCACGTTCTAGAGCTGAATCTTAATGGTTCGAGGGGATGACCTCAAATATGCTAATTAATTGGTGTAGACGATATTTTAAGCTACAAAATCAGACAACGTACTTTCTCTGAATAAATACACCTTTTTTCGGCTGATAAAAAAAAATTAGGGGATAGACGCAATCAGGGAAATATGGTCCCCATAGTTTCGTCAGGAGAGCGATCCAAAGCTTTGACTCCCGAATATTGATTTTATTTTTTGTGTATTCCGTCATATCTCGAGAACTTTTCAGGCCGAATAGAGAAATCTTTGTGCACAATTATAAAATTCGTTTATCCAATGATAAATCCATGCAAAAAATAAATTTTAGAAAATATTTATTATTCTTCATTATTTACTTTAGTAATAGTGATGAATTGTAAGGTATTAATTTTTTGCCCGATTTTAAAGTATTTAATTTTCCATGGCAAAATAAAAAATTTAATGAAATCGCTTGAATAGTTCTTGAGAAATTGAATTTTGGAAAATCGTTTGTTTAAAATTCGATTTCTCAGGAGCTATTCAACCGATTTTCTTTTAAATCTTGTAATTTGCCATCCGAAATTAGATGCTCTAAAATTATGTAAAAATTTATGTACCTTACACTAATTACCTTACATAACCTTTACCCTTTTAAACATTAGGGGGTCATAAACTTTGGATAGCTCTCCTATCCAAACTATGGAGACGATACTTCCCAAATTGCTGCTACCATTTATATTTGGGGGGGGGTCAGAAATACGAATCCGTCGGAGAAAAGTTATGTTTACTCAGAGAAAATTTGTGTCTGATTGTTTTTGTGTCTGAATTCGTAACTTAAAACATCGTCTGCACTAACTAATTAGCATATTATAGGTCACCCCCTTAAACCATTAATATGGAGTCCTGGAGGTCAAAAATCCTATCATTAGATCAAAAGTTGTTCAGGGTGGTTCCTTTTTTTTTGAACACTGTATAAGACGTCGTAAGCAAAATCTAAATTTTTCTCTATCTTTGCTTTGCAGACGTCGTAAGAGGGTGGAAGTTGCAGAAAAGTACCTCCTGAAGTCGATACAACTGGACCCTGAATTTGTGCCAGCCATCTCTGCCCTGGCCAGCGTCTATGCGGACGCCGGTGAGGACAGAACAGAGGATGCAGAGAGATTGTATGTTTGGGCCATCTCCTTAGATCCTGATGACGCTGATGTCCTCAACAATTACGGAACTTTCCTGGAGACACAAGGTATTTTACATTTAAACTTTATGAACTAGAAACGATAGTTATTAGATTTTATTGAAGATGTCAATGAAATTTAAAGCGAAGGATATTTTTGGAAGTTTAAACAATAAAACAATTTAAACTATAGGTATTATCATCTTAATAATGCAAACTAAGTGGAAACTTCCTCATTTTGATTAAAGATGTCTTTCAAGTTCATTATTTGCTATAACGTAATATAAAATTTATGTTCATTGCAAATTTCGCCATCATTTTATAAAGTACCAGACAAATTAGAAATGTCTTAAGTATTTTCTATCCAGCATGATATTTTTCTAGGTTATTACTAGTTTAAAAATGTACGAAACTTTGCTCAGTCAATCTGAACTTTCACAAGCATACTGGTAAGGGACTTATGAAAGAGAAGTACAATATTACATTAATTAAACAAGGTTAATTAGATATAATTTTCGAAAATTCTAAATTTATTTCGGTTCATTGTAAATGGCCTAAATTAAATTAAGCTAATTGAGCAATGATTTGAGCAGCAGCAGAAAAAGAAACAACTGAGTTAATTGCAGTAAACCTAAAAAATGAATTAGACTTAAAAATGGACTTAATGCCTAATGAATTATGCCTTTGTTGTAATAAGCCTAAAACTTTAATAATCCTAAAATGTAATAAGCCTAAAAACGGTTCAAAAAGAGCCAAATTAGCCTACGAATTTTTTCTGACTTGCAAATTGAATTCAACAAATATTTCTACATAAACACTAAGAATAAAAAAATTACAATCCATATCTATTATCGCTTTGAAAGTCTGCTTTCAAAATCATAACTGAAACATATAAATTAAAAATAAGCAGCTGGTTCTGTTTTATTGTTCTCGTAAATATTCTATCGATAGTCAGAGATCTTCAGTTGGTGTTATATATACATCCGACCAAAAGTATTCGGACACGTGGTTGTTAATAATAGTGGTGGAATCTTAATGGTGTGGGGGTGTTTCTCGTGATTTGACCTGTGTCCGTTAGTGCCTGTAGTTGGAAATATGAACTCTGAGATGTGTATGTGGACAATGCTGCACTGCAAACTCCATGGCAATATTTCGGCCCATTTCTCTACCAGCAGGATAACTGCTGCATTGGCACATCGAGGCTTGCACAGACGTGGTTTGACCAAATGGGTATTCAAAAACTGGACTGGCCTTCTCAAAGCTCCAATCTAAGCCCCATAGAACACCTTTGGGACGAATTAGAGCGAAGATTACGTAAAATCGACCATCCTCACTGCAAGCACTCACTTAAGCTGTGATGGAAGTCAATTCCAGCATCGTGTGACTCAGGACGCTCTAAGTCCATACCACTGGGTGTCTGGATACTAGGTGTCAGGACGCTCGCTCTAAGCCATTAGCACTGGGTGTCAGGACGCTCTAAGTCCATACCACTGGGTGTCAGGACGCTCTAAGTCCATACCACTGAGTGTCCGGATACTGGGTGTCAGGACGCTCGCTCTAAGTCATTAGCACCGGGTGTCAGGACGCTCTAAGTCCATACCACTGGGTATCAGGACGCTCTAAGTCCATACCACCGGGTGTCAAGACGCTCTAAGTCCATACCACTGGGTGTCAGGACGCTCTAAGTCCATACCACTGGGTGTTAGGACGCTCTAAGTCCATACCACTGGGTGTCCGGATACTTTGGGCGTTAAGCAGCCCCTAGCCAAATTATTAGACGCACTATTAATTATCAGGTACGTTCTTGTATCAATTGATTAACATTGCAATGAAATACGTTAAAAATAAATACAAATGGGAAGTATATAAAAATCTGCTGAAAAAAAACCCATTAAATATACAAGTATTGCATATAAACTCGTGCAAAACATGTCATTATCAAAACGCTACAGTGCGTCTAATAATTTGGTCTAAATATTATAATATACAAATATAACCCGATATAATAAATATTCTACATTGATATAATATATCGTCTAATTTATCNTCTAATAATTTGGTATAAATATTATAATATACTAATATAATGCTTGATATAATAAATATTCTATATTTATATAATATATCGTCTAATTTATCCAATTGTCTAAATTACATTGTATATCGTCTAATTTAACCAATTGATACACTAACGTAAACAAGTGCAAACCTGTTGCAAAAACAATAAAGCTGTAAAGTATCACATGATAATTAAGATTTTACATAGAATCTTATAGTGCGTTTAATAATTTGACCAGGGATTGTAATGTATTATGCACATTGTTACATAATTAACTTACTTTATGTACATTTTTAGAATCTCGTCAAAAAAGAATTTTAAAATAAATGTACACGGAACGAAAGATTGGGAAAAGCGAACTTTATTTCGTCTCAATATGAAAGGTACTAATTTAGGCAGCATGAAATGATTTTTCCCCTGTGGAATTCCCCTCTGCAAGTGATCAATGTCTTCCGCAGAAGATGACCTGATTCGATTCCTGGCATATCATTCGACAACAAAAGGAATTGATGAAACATGATAGTGTGTATATGGGAAGTAATTAGGGAAGGGAATAAAGAATAAAAGTAGAGAATATTTCTCCACTTATCCTGACGGACTCGTGGTGTTTCCGTAACAATGAACGACGAAATGTAGCGGATAAACTGCATGACATGTCATAAGTTCTGTACCTCGTATATAAAATAATATATTAGTAAACAGAGTATTGCAAAAGGTTAAAGACAATTAGAAAAAGAATTTTCGTTCATTATTTAAAAAAAATTCATAAATTTGAACTATTTAATTCGTTATTGAAAAAGATCGAATCCAGGACTCAAGAATCTTATTACATTTTTTTCTTAAATATTTATTTAAAACAACCATAGAAAGTAAAAGTTCCTCTAATAATTGAATGTATAGTTTAAAAAATACCTAAATATAACTGTTTACACTAAAAGCGCTAAAGCAGTTAATTCGCACATTGCCTGGCTAATCCGCAGATTAACTATTTTAATCCGTTATAGTTCTGAATTGTCTTTCGCAATTTACCAAGGTTACCTGCGCATCAATAGTTCCTGAAACGATAAAGCTCAAAAAAATTTTCATATCAATTATCAAAAATGCTCTAAGTCACATTTCTAATTTTTTTTAAATAGATCCTTTATTAAGTAAAGATTGATTTTTCTTTTTAATTGTATAAATATAATGTTGCCCATATTTGTAGGTCGTCGAAGTGAAGCCATGACACAGTATGAAAGAGCCATGACAGCCAAGCCGAACCACACAGTGGCCATAGTTAATGCGGCTAAATCTCTAAGAAGTTTAGAACATAGCAGAAGAGCCGAAGAGCTTTATAAAAGGTAACTTGTGAGTAAGACTTTCTCGGTGGAGAAAATTTGATTTTTTTTTCTTAAGAAGCGTAAGAGAATATAGTGTTTTTCATTACGGACTCTATTTCGATATTCTTAATATTACATTTAAAACGAACACATTATAATTCAATGGAAGATTATTTTTATTTCAAATATTTATCATTCGTATTCATATTTATGTTTCGACAATGATATGTGAACCGTAAATTGCAAGACAAACATCAAAGACGATAACACTGTACAACAAAATAAAATTTTCCTCTAAAAGAAAAACGTGTGTTTTGCATACATTTTAGAAAGAAAAAATGATGAATCTGTTATTATTTTTGGTTTAACACGCTCTAATTTTCCAAAATTCCACATTTTAACTCGACAACTTAACGTTCTTTAACAACTTAAAAGCAAAAGAAAGACTCTCAGACAGTGGAAATTTCTCAAACTTACCGATCTTTTTGGATAATTTTTTTTTTTTTTATCGTTGAAATTTTATTTTTTAATTTCATCATAATTTAATTCCTCATAAATCAGAATTAGAAGCATTTTATTTTTTAAAAAAATTATTAGGAGTACAAATTAGTTTCCGTTTTCAAATTAGTTAAGTCCGTTTTTAAAAGATGGCTCTGCTGTTGTGAATGTTTCATAGTGACAACTGGTATCGGTGGTTTCAGAGAGGTTAAACGTCTGCTAATAATATTCAGTTCACATCGTTTTGAGTTTCATGCAAAAACCCTGTTTTTTACTTTGTTGAATATGTCAAATTTTGCGGTAACTAAGCACCGTTTGCGGGAGGTTTTATGTTTCTGCTTTAATTGGAAGAAAAGTGCAGCTGAAGCGCATCGAATGCTTGTAGAGGTTTATGGTGACAATGCTCCAACTGATAAATCATGTAGAGAATGATTCGACGCTTCAAGAATGGTGAATAGTGTTGTTTACTATGAGCTGCTACAACCTGGAGATTCCATTACGGGCTATCGGTATAGGCTACAATTCATTCGTTTAAGCCTTACATTACGAGAAAAACGGCCAGAATAAGAGCAAAGACATGACAAAGTTATTCTTCTGCATAATAACGGTCGGCCTGATGTCGCAAAAGTCGCAAAAAATTATTTGGAAAAGCTCAAGTGGGATATTTTACAGCACCCGCTGTATTCGCTGAACATTGCTCCTTCTGATTACTGGTTGTTCCGACGAATGCAGCACGATTTCACTTCCTTCGCAGAAATCGAAAATTGGCTCCTAACTGTGATCGCCTCAAAAGACGAGACATTTTTTCCTGGTGGAATTCAAAAATTGCCTGAGAGGTGGGGAAAAGTAGTAGCCAGCGATGGACAATACTTTGATTAATCTGTTCATTCATTTTGTTCTTAAATAAATGCATTTCTGATCACAGAAAAACGGACCAAACTAATTGTACTCCTAATATCTAATTCTGTTTCGTTAATTATGAAAAGACTTCTTTTTGCCTTTACCATTCCATTTCACCCGACTAAAATAAACTTCCAAAACTATTGATTGAACAGTATTTGCCCTTCTTTCTCTTGACCGTCCCGTTTACAATATAAACAAAGGTCTTTTTTTTTATAATATTCTCTTACAGAAAAAATATTGCTTTGAAGAATGTTTCAAGGAGAAGAACTGCTCTTTTTCTAGAAGCTAAGAAAAAAAAAAGAATAAGAACTTCTGTCAATTTTAAGTGGAACTGAGAAAAATTGTCTCAGATATATTTCAAGCATACTCTTTTTAATTTTGACTAGTTTGCGAGAAATTAATTTCATCTCTTTTTACTCAATGAGTTATCAGTGTTAGTCAAATATGCATCAGAGTTGAATGTTAGAAAACGCTGACACTTTATAACATTTAGTGTTATAAAAATTTACCCAAATAAAAAATCTAAATGAAATTTTGTAAAATTGTGCATTTTTCAAATTTGAAATTACATTATAATTGATGAACTCTTAGTGGCGATTTTATAACCGTCGTTGAACAGCCGACCCAATTTTTTGAGTTTACTACTACTGATGTTCAACTCTGTAACCTTGTCATTTTGAACCCAATCCTGACGACAAGGGAACTCCTGGATCAAGTATTGGGAGAAATTTGCCTTCGCGGAGGACTTTTGGATGATGTTAACCCTCATTTGCGTTACATGAAGAGGGAAACCACTAAAACATGCCACGGTTAGCCTGACGGCTAGGGGACTTTAACCCATGATCCGTCTACTACTGAGGATATTTTAGGTCAGCACTGTGCAAGCCGGATGCAGAATTTGTATCGACCAGCCATCGCTGGAATTCGAACCCGTTCACCTCATTGGAAGGGGAATGCTCTGTCCCCTGAGCCATCGCGATCGAAATTATTTTTTTTCTATCCGTCGTTGAACTGCCTGCCCAATTTGTTGGGTTTACGACATTTGATGTTCAACTCCGTACCCTTGTCATTTTGATTCCAATCCAGAAGACAAGGAAACTCCTAGATCAGTACCCCCAGAAGTATGATCTCTTATGGGAACATGGTGGACTTTGCGACTCGACAGATTTAACGTGCATCAGTCACCATTTACTACACGGGGAGTCTTCGGCCGGCGAGGATCGAACACACGACCTCTTGGATATGGGCCCAGCGCCCTACCGACCAGGCTATCCCGGCCCGATCGAAAGTAATTTTATTTTTATTTTATAACCGTCGTTGAACAGCCGACCCAATTTCATGGGTTTACGACTACTTACGTTCAACTCCGTAGCCTTGTAATTTTGAACCAATCCAGAAGACAAGGAAACTCCTGGATCAGTACCCCCAGAGGTATTGATTTGTTGTGGGAACATGGAGGACTTTGAGACTCGACAGATTTAACGTGCATCAGTCACCATTTACTAGACGGGGAGTCTTCGGCACGCGGTGATCGAACCCACGACCTCTTGGACATGGACCCAATGCCCTACCGACCAGGCTATCCCGGCCCTCGATCGAAAGTAATTGTACGAAATGGTTATCATCAAATTTAGTATTGTTGTATCATTTTATTTTCCTTCCTAGTTTTTCAAAAGTCGTATAGGAAGTACTGCCCACTCTCCATATTCTCCAAATTTTTCTCCCACTGAACCCGTTCAACTTTTAGGGGATATTTCTTAATTATGTAGCCCGAATTCAAAATGAGTTTGTTGATAGTATCTGCTTCCACTTGCGCTTTATAAAACTTATTCATGTTTTTAATTTAAGGAACGTGTCTTTTACATTTTCTACGAATGTTTAATTTTCTTAAAACCCAAAATCCTTAACGTATATTTATTCAGGATTTCTGATTAGCAGAGATGAAAGACCGAATTAATTATGTTTATGATTTTTAAAAAATTTTCCCGAATAAACCAAATCAAAGAAAAGTAAGTAAAATATATTCAATTACAATTATTTAATCTGTGATCCATTTTTTCAGTATTCTTTTAGTTTCACACTGGAAATGCCTCCTAAAACTTTACAAATACGTTCTGTTACCCTAGATTCATGACAAGCAGCCGTTCATGAGCCCCAGATTCTAAACATGCATTCATCAACCCTAGATAAAAAAGCATGCATTCAGTAACCCTAGTCATTATCAAAGCAATAATCCATTCCTGGGATAGCCTAGTTTTTAGGTCACTGGGCCCTTGTCCAAGAGGTCGTGGGTTCGATCTCCACCGGCAGAAGTCTCCCTGTATAGTAAATGGTGATTGATGCACGTTAAATATGTCGAATCACAAAGTCCTCCTTGTTCCCATACGAGATCATACTTCTGGAGGGTATACTGATCCAGGAGGTTTTCTTGTCTTCTGAATCGGTTCAAAATTACAAGGCTACGGAATTGAACATTAGTTGTCGTAAACCCAAAATTGGTCGGCTGTTGAATGACGGTCATAAAATAATAAAAACTTGGAAAAACAATTTCAATTCTAAAAGTAAATCTTTGATAGCATCATCTTCAGCGCACTCTGGCTGCAACATGAGGTTGTCGATTGCTTTCAGAGATCGTCAAAAAAGAGCTCTCTAAATTAGAGCCAAGCATTCACAAATATTTTGAATATATATTTAAATCTACTCATTTGTTTCGTTAATATTTTGTTTTTGTTGTTGATGTATGCCTGTTTAGGCAGAAGGGGCGCGGTTGTTCTTGTTTTCCAGTGGCGCCATCTATGGCCAAGAATATTTTTTGTTTTGGTATTTTCACGTTTCCTCATTTGATCTACGTCACATTTGGTGCAGAGATTTACTTAGTCGCATGAATAGATTCTGATGGTCTCATCAAAAGGTTTTCTTTCAAACAAAGTCTGTTCCATGCCTCCTAAAAGTGGTCGTTAATAGAGGAGGTCGATAAAGCGAGGTGGGCTTTCCTAGATGCTTCACTGTATTATTTCCTCGTGTTCTAAGGGGATTTCCCTTCGAGTCGGACGACATGAAACTTTGAAAAAGGACGCTTTAAAAAGATCACAATGGATTGCTTATAATTTTTATTCATTCGTATATCAGAATAATTTTTTGTAAAAATTCTTGAATTGTAATTAAAATGTTAATTAAAAGAGGCTTAATTGACGAGTCTTGGGAACGATATCTTTTGACTGGCAGTACAAGCCTTCTGCTTGCATGGTTATTTCATTTATATCAATTTCAAAAATTGATTTTTTTTTTTTAAATTTTAATTGGGTATAATATGAAAAAAACACAACTACTTCGATTTAGTAGGAACAACATATGACGCAATGCTAAACGAATGGAATTTAGTTGTTGTTTATTTAGTTATTGTTATTAGTAGTTGTTGTTATTTGTTTTAGTTGTTGTTGTTNCACATCTCTTACTGTTTTTTTAAGAAACTATGTTCAAATGTTTTAGTATTGCAATGTCATTAGTTGTTACCACTGTTCATGTTCGTTAGTTACTACCACTGAGGAAAATTATAGCTTAATATTGTTCATGGGTTAAATTTAGTAGGAACAACACAACCTGTGACGTAGGCTATATTATACCCAATTCATGGATTGCAAAATAAAATAAATCATTCATGCAAGCATTAAATCTACTTATGATAAGTTCATTAATTATTTTCATGTTGAAGTATTTAAACTTTCCCGGGAAGAATCATGTACTGTCCCTGACTATATTTTTAGACGCACTATAAGATTCTATGTAAAATTATAATTATGAGGTGATATATTATACAGCTGTATTGTCTTAACACGACTGAAACCGGTTTGTACTTGTTTACGTTCATGTATCAATTGGCGAAATGAGACGATTTATAATATAAATTAGGCGATATATTTATTACATAAATATAGAATATTTATTATATCAGGTTTTATATTAGTATAATATAATAACTAGACCAAATTATGAAACGCACTGTTGTTTTTTTAATAATAACATGTTTTGCACGAGTTTATAGACAATACTTTTAGATTTAAACATAAATGTAATATTGTTTTATAGAGGAGATTTTTTATATACTTCAAATTTGTACTTATTTTGACATATTGCATTACTATGTTAACAGATTAATACACGAACGTAAACAAGTTTAAACCGGTTTCAGCTGCGAAAAGTATTACCTGATAATTAAAATTTTACATAGAATCTTACAGTCAGTCTAATAATTTAGCCAGGGAGTATATGTTTAAATCTCGGAAAACAAAGATTCTCTACTCAAATATTTTTGAAAATTCCATCTCCGAGTTAAATCAAATATTAATTTAATATTAATTTTAGTGGCAGAGACACTCTTTCCTTAATTCTATTTCCCGCATGGTAAACAACTAATTCCGAAATCGCAGGAATAGTTTCCCTCCAACCCCCATTCTTCTTCTCCGAAAATTTCAGCTTCGCAAACTTCATTTCTTCACTTCACTTCAGCCCATGTACCCTCAAAGGCCGCGTCCCTAGAAATGGCCTTGGCAATACCACGTGATTGCTCCAGTAGTCTCTTCGTTATCCTCAAATAAGAGAAAAGAGAAGATTCATAATCATCTTAAGAAAACTCTTTCCCGGGCAGAGAAAATGTAACTTTTGCCCTCTTATTTGGTGACGTCTTAGTTAAGGTGATTCGAGTAAGACTTTGCCTTGGGCGATGTTTAAGTGAGGGGGCAAACACGTTGCGGTTTAAGAGACAGCAAATACATGCGCGATGTCTCGTGGGGGAACAGAGACAAATTGAGACACGTTCTTTGCCCCGAGCGCGGAGATGAAAATTTATTACTAACGCAAGACGGATCCGGTTGCCATGGTGATGATTTTGAAATCGCCATTTTGGTTATGTTTGCATAAGAAGCTTTACACATTTTATTTGCCTTCCCTTCCAGCATACATATCTCATTTTACTGATAAATAAACAGTGTTCTTATAGCGGAATGGGATTAGGCTAAGTAATTAGTGTCGGTAAGCATCGATAATGAGCCTGGATTTGATTTTAGAATTTGAAGAAGGCGTAGAAATTATTAAGTAAAATTTATTTTGTATTTATGTTGGACTTGCGATTATTGTTATAAAATTTTGGATCGTGAACGAAAAAGGCTTAAATGTGATCGAATGTGACGTCATCACAACACATTATTTAGTTTCTTTTCGTCCTACTCACAGTGGAGGTTTCCATGGCAATTCTTAACGGGTCCACTTATTCTGTGGATTTAAAGAGTAGACACTACAATTTCTAATGCGAAGTACTTCTCCTTATGACCTATTTATTTTCCCTCCAGCCGTTTAGGACCGTGGTCACGAGATTATCCTAAGATTATAATAATAATTCCGTGATCACGAAATTATCCTATGATTATATCCTAAGATTATACTACGAGATTATAATCTATATATATATTTCTCTTACCCGGCGACAAAAAAAAGCCTCATTACAACTCCCGAATGGCAACGCTACAAAATCGACCAATGATTGCCGCTCCAAATGTCACATGCCAAATCTAGCTGAGGTTGCTCAACGCATAGCGCTTTTAAAAATGGAAACTGAAATAACCTTAAGCTAGGCAGAAGTGAGTAGTCTTTGTCGATAGATCTCTATTTTAGTATTTTGTCGAAAGCGCTTTTTTTCACGAATTTATATATTACGAATTTATTTGACGATTTTTGATTTATATCACGAATTTATTTGTTTTATTATTGTTATTAGTTATTCATTGAAAAATGAGTCTTAGTCGTGCTGTTACGCTTTAAGATTTTATACAATAGCACATTTCTAATAGGTTTAACGAATTGCATGTCATTTATTTGAATTCAAATTTATTTTAATGACTTAGTATTTACTAAAAAGATGTATTTTTTTTTTAAAGTTGTTATATGGATTTGAATGATTGTTTTGAAATCTTAGAATCTTGTGCATTTGCAATGTACCTAAGTTAGTAGCGAGCGAAGCAAACCATATAAGATTGCGCAGCAATTTTCGGGGGTTAGCGAGCAGGGGGAGCAGCCCACTAGTAATAATAATTATTATAATTATATAATTATTCTACTAATTATGAATTCTTTCTACTATTTAGGGCCTTGGCAATACAGAAAGATCCTCAAGTGATGGATAATCTGGGTATGCTGTACTTAGCGACTGGAAGGTATCGCGAGGCTAAATTTCTTTACCAGTACGTTATACAACATTATCCAGAGCACAACGACAGTAAACTGCATTTTGTAAGTACATTCATAGCGTTAATTTGGAAGTTATTGCAGGAATTCAAACTGCAAACTATTCTGTTTTTTGTTTATTATTATTTGTTTAAAAGATAACTGCAACCCCTTTTACTAGCTCACAGCTCCGCTTGAGCAAAATTGAGTTTCTCGGAGAGTTTATTGCTCGTTCTTAATTATTCATCCTTTTATCCGTTTGGAAATCAATATGGATAATTTCCGTTCCAAATTCAAATGACGTTAACAACACTATATTTAAGAATATACGAAACAACGAGTATAGATTACAGGTAGATTTTTTTTTCTGTATAGATACAGCTATAGAAACAAGATTTAAGAATGTAACTAACTCACATAAGATCGACCAAAATTTAAATACATATATATATAATTTAGTATTATTATAAAGATAAATTATTTACATTAATTGATGTATAGATCATCTATTTGGTTAAAATAGAAGAACTAGGAGAAGTTTCAATTAACATATTGTTGATACAATGTATGTGAAGAGTTAAATATTACATACATTGCTATTGATAGAATGTCAGAACGCACCATGTTACCGTGACAAAAGTTATATTGAATGGTGAAAATATCTTTGTGGTTAATTGGCGGTATTTTTTTGTACAAAAAAGCATTTACTGCGAAAATTGCGTAGGAGTTATTGACTAACTGCGATAAATTATTACGTCATTCTCTGTGAAAATAATAAATATATATACTAAGTATCATTGACATCTGCCCTCCAAACTGGTAAGTTCGTTTAATTATAATGTACAGTTAGCAAAAGAAGAAAAATACATCACCCTGAGTAACTTTCGCTCTAATGATCAGATTTTCGCGAATTAAGTGTCAATCTTAATGGTTCTAGAGGTGTCCTCAAATATGCTAATTAATTAGTGCTAATTACTAATTAAGTTTAGAAATTTGACACATAATTTAAAAGTATCTAATTTTACATATCAAAATACAAAATTTGAACGAAATCGGCCGAATAGTTCTTGAGAAATTGAATTTCAATAAAGTCAGGTACTTAAAATTTGATTCCCCCGGAACTATTCGACCGATTTTGCTCAAATTTCGCATTTAGCTATATAAAATCACGTTTTTTTTTAAATGATAGAAAAAAATTTATATCTTGCATTTAAAAATTTCGTCGACCATCATTAAATAAAATAATAAAAGTAATAAATATTTACAAAAAGTCATATTTTTGCGTGGAATTATTTTTAGATAAAGGAATTTTATATTTGCGTTGAAAAAATTTTGAATTCGCTTAAAAAGATTCTAGAGATATAGCGAAATACGGAAAAAGTAAAATTAACATCAAGGGGTTCAAACTTTCATATGCTCTTCTGACAAAACTTTTGGTACCCTATTTCCCATATTGCGGCTACACCAATATTTTAGGGGTAAGAAATCTGAATCCGTCGAAGAAAAAAAAGTTTATTCATAGAAAGTACGTTTTTGTGTCTGATTTTGTAACTCAAAATATAGTCTACAATTGGTAATTAGCATATCTGAGGTTACCGTCTCGAGCCCTAAAGATTGAGTCTAGAACCGGAAAATCCGATCATTGGATCAAAAGTTATACAGGATGGTTCGTTTCTTTGCGCACTCTACATTTAAAAAAATGAACGTATACATTTCTTAAAAGAAATTGTTTTGTTTTTCTTCTAAGCCCTTCATCATACCTAGATTTTTCTTATACTAAAGCATAACTATTAATCCCTTAATTTTACTATAAATCACTTTTGAATTATTATGATTGATTTTAAATTTTATAAATTTCATTGGGATGCTGAACTATCTGTTCTTGCACATTTTGCCTTCATTTATTCACTTCCTATTTTTTTACTTTCCTACATGCTTTACAATACTTGATTTATTGTTTTAAATTTACACGTCATCGATAGTGTGATGTTCTCTTATGTGTATCAATCTTTGTTAGTTTTAATTTTACTGAAATTTTGTAGTGTTTGGTTCTCACGTGACAGCGGGTCAAACCCTTATCCGAAAACTATCGGTCGCTATTAATCTTTATACTAAAACAAATTTTTGAAATGATTGTATGAATTCGAAGCCATGCCCTGTATGTAAAATCAATCCTATGAAACTCACCAACTCATTCAAAACTGAGAGAAGAAATATTCCCAAAACTAAAATTCCCGACCTTCTAAAGCTTCCTAATCAGGTTCCTCTCTCTCTCTCAGAAGAGCTGAATTTAAATCAAATGAAAAGTATAGGGTCATCATTAAAATTCCTGTGTGGACAGTGTTTCCTTCATTAGATGACCCTCTTTCAATTAAGGCCTCTCACTCCATGAAACAATGTCCACGGTGGAACTGGGGGCGTGGACAAATTGCCTGGGGGTGCAAAACCTTTGTTCCTCAGCGGTGGACATCAGTAGAGAAATCTATTCACTGCACTAGGTGCGTGGAATTCAATTTCCATGTTGGAACAAAGGTGCACCCCCTCCCCTTTTCACAGAATAGAGAGGGCCCTTAGGGGTCAGGTGACCTCAGTCAAGAAGCAATTACGCCCGATAAGCAATTAATTTAAATTGAAAAGCGGATTAATTAATTGGTAACTCACATTGGATAATAGGAGCTGTCCCAATTGTATCGGAAAATTTAAAAAAAAAAATTTTAAGTTTTGATTGCTTTTTTACGATGACTGGTTAACTATTGGTAAAATGCTTTTTTTTCTGGTTTAACTCCGATAAACGTCACAACATTTCAAATCATGGGTTGCTAAAACTGTCTCCATTGATGTTTGTCGGTCGTCAGATTGGTTTTCAAATTCTGTGTACATACGTGTTTCAAGACGTCACAAAATACTTTTCCTTCCTCAGTATTCATATTTATATTAAAATCACCGTCAAGACAGTAATTATAAGTTAATAATAAAAAGAATATAAAAATACTTTAAATTATTATTATATAAATACATTAAGAATGACTGCTTTTGAAAATAAAAATACAGAAAGAATTCTTAAGAAAATTATCAAACAGCAGCGGTCGCCATAGCAACGCATGCAGTAACAACGCATGCGCATTGTTTACTGTTACTCTAGAACACGGTTGAAAAGTGTGATGACGTCCAAATAAAGTGCGCACGCCATAAAACCTGAAACAAGACCCATTTTGCCAAATGGTAATAAAGCATTTTCCTTTAATAATTTTCCCTCGTTTAAAATCCCTATCAACAATAAAATTCCTATCAATTCAAATTATAGTTCGTTCATCAGGAGTTGGCACTTGGCTCCACCCCCTCTGACGCAGAGTTCATTTCAGCGCGGGAGTAAGAAGAGAAACATTTCCACCCTTGAAATTGAGACAACCCTTAATGCGCGCCAAACACAAATAGTGGCTTTTTTTCAGTCACTTACTTCGCTTTATCATCTGCTATTATACCTTTCGTTTCTTTAACTAATTAAATATATTTTAAATTTAAAAACTGCTGTTTTCCCATCAAAATGTCTCAAAAAGGACAAACTATTCACTCAAAAGAGAGAAATGCCATAAATATTGGTTCGAAATATCAAATTTATGAAATATTCAATGTTAAAAAAAATGCAGATAAAGTTTGTGAAATTAATATTTTTTGTCATATGATCGCCAAATAGCAACCTTGTTCAGGATTGCTCACAATCTTCTCCCAAAAATAGCGAAATAGTATCGTCGCATACCACGTGATGAAGGCGGAGCCAAGTGCCAACTCCTGGTGAACGAGCTATACTATTTAAGATACGAAAAAACAAAATCCCTATTGCAATCCGACAACTCGCAATACATGAGGATGGATGTATCAAATAACAAGAAGTGTTTGGAGCCAGGAAACAGTTTGAAAAAGATTAATAGAAACACCTTCAAGTTTCAACCTCCAGTTTAAACATGTTTGATGTTTATTGCATTTGCTCTCATAGACAGCAATTTGTTAAATTTCATTATTGCGTTTGATTTTCCCTGTCTTATTTAGCTTTTATGTCCCCCAATGGTTTTATTTTTGAAAGGATTCTAAAATTATATATTAAGGGTGGCCTTTACGAAACACTATGTATAATCATATAGTAAATAAGATTACCCCACAAAAAATTAGTTACCTCTGGAGAAATCTTGAACAGCACAATAAAGGTGGATGTGTGAAAATTTGGAGTGTTTTACTTGTGGACAGAATCGACTCACTAAGGGACTACCAACATGAATCAGCATGTTTATTTTAAAATTCTGAATGATCAGCTGTTTCTTTTTAATCAGTATCTTCATGATGAGTATGTTGTTAATGATCTTTTTATTAAGAGGAGAACATCTTAATAAGTCTACAAAATCACCTGACTTGAACCCTATATGAAAATTTTTGGATACGGTGCATCAGATAGTAAAACGCTGTAATCAGCACCTTCACAATCATGTAAATTTCCATGATCAGATCCTGAATGAACGGTTTGAAATAGGTACTACGTATCTGCAAAACCATTCAAGCCCACTTTCTTTTGCAGGTACAGTAACTTAATGTTTTTACTTGTATGTAAAAATTTTAACTGGTCCGATAATATATCCCTAATACATTTATAAAAAAATAATATTTAAAAATTGTTAGAATACGTTGTTGTTGTGGTCTGCCATTAAGGCAGAGAGGGTGCAATTGCTCTAGTTTTCCAGTGGCGCCATCTATGGCCAAGAATTCAACCACATCCATTCGTCACACCCGTTTATAGGTTCAACCTAGTCATACATTCTTCCACAGATCACAATTTTGACCTGAACCAGAGAATTATCAATCTCCAACTCAGTACCCCCAAAAGTATAATTTCTTATGGGAACATGAAAGACTTCATGACCCGACAGATTTACCGTGCACCAGTTACCTTTTACTACACGGAGAGTCTACGGCCGGCTGAATTCGAACTGAAGAGTTTTAATAAACTATTATGATGTTATATCGTATTCATCCTAAGTTGAGTCATTTATAAACGAAATATTTATACTGTTTCTCATTTACTTTTCGACGAATGTCACTACGCAGGTTTCTAAAATTTTTGGATCGTGTCAGATAATCTAATTTCGGTTAATCGAGAGTCTGGCCAGTGGTTGCTTTCCTTTAGTAAACATTTAAAACGCTCTTATAAGAGAGTCTAATTTCAGAAAATAAAAACTAGGTCTGCATCTGTTTTGACAGGAACTCCTGCTTATCTTCAATTTATTACATAGAACAAATTATTTGAATATCTTTTTGGAACTACTCCCCCATCAAAATCATTCCACCACTGCGTAAGCTAGTGTAATTTCGAACACACTTTTTTTTTGTCGTCGTCCTGAAATGCAAAGACTTCGTGTCAACGACAAATTATTTTTCTTTTTCTTTCAGCTAAGTTTCTCTTTTACAGGATGCAATTTTCCGGTATCTTGATTAGAAGAAGGGGGTGGACAGATTTTTGGGAAAGAAAACGGGAATAATCAATGAGGGGTTGTGCGAAGAAAAGAGAGAAGGTGGAAAAAAATAAAAATAATAATATACAGTCGGCTTCCTTGCTGATTGAATGAGAAATTTAATTAACCGTTTAAAAAATGAGATTGAAAAATATTCATTTTCCGAAACATATGGCGATGCAGTGAAGAAAATAATTCTAAACCAACCGTGGCTTTAATGGCGGCAGATTGAGGGACTTTTTTTTTAAATTTTTTTTCACGCTCCTTCAAATTTTCTCAGATTCCTATCGCTGTTCTTATTTTATTCTGATACCAAGTATCAATTTCATTTCCTCCTTTATTTACCTGCCACGCGCTTATTACCTGACAGCTCGAATTTATACACAAAAAAAAATTGTTTTCAAATTATTAAATCAGTTAAAATAATTTTGTCGTTTCGAGGTAAATAAGTATAAATTAAATTCTAATATCGGAAGAAGGATGATTTTAAAAAATATGAAGTTTTAAATTATTAAACGCCATTTTGTCCATCATTTGTCGAGTTTTGGAAATGAGTATTCATCCTATGTATTTAGTTTGGTGTCATTTAATTCAACTTCAAAAATACATATCAATCACGTGAAATTACTGTAAGATTTGTTTTAATTCTTAATCGTTTTTCAGTCATAAAATTTTGAAAATCGTCTGCTCAAAAGTTTTTTCAGAAAGATACTCCGCAGATTTATTCTGTAGACTAATTCTGTGGATTTACTCTTGTTAAGTAATAGACTAATTTGATTGAAAAAATTCACTCAGTTTTTTACTTCTCCCGTGTGTTAATGTTTTGAAATAAGTGTACTTTTACATTATTTCTGAAGTTTTTTTTTATAAATAAAATTGCACTTTTCATTTGTAGGCTCAACTTTTAATTCAAGAGAGAAGTTTCGATCTCGCAGAAACTCTTTTGCTTTCAATCGGACAATCGAGAGAGAGCTTCCTGCATCTGGCATCACTCTACAATCGAACAAACAGAACAGCAGAAGTAAGTTAATTACTGCTTTTAATTTTATTTTACTAACTTTTTTCTAAATTTAGCTTAATAACTTCACACTATAGAATTTTCAACAAAAATATGCCAAATTTTGGAATTATGATAAAACTCTGAGAAATAGGAATATGTACGCCTATAAGAAATAGAACTATTATAAGAATACTAGGGGGCTACGCCCCCTGTTTACTGCCACTCACCAACACCGATTATTGCTTCACAATAATTGTTGTTTCTTAGCAGAAAACAGTTTCTCTACTAAAGTTAAAATAATTCATTTAACATCTATGTTTTAAAAGGAATTCTGTTTATTTATGCTTGTGCCACCACTTCCCACGTCCAAACATTATTATCCGCTAGTATTATAAATATTTAAATCTACTGGTGAACAGAAGTAATTTTTCTAAGTAATCATTTCTTGAGATAACATTTATATTGTTATAACATTATATTGTTCAAACAAAATTTGATGAACTCTCAACCGTAATTTAATATTTTCGCTTACGAAACTGGAGGATACATGAAATACTATTTTTGTTTGCATCTCATTGTGCTTGAAGCATGTCGTTAAGTTCTAAATCATTATACAGTTCTCTTTCACTGTAATTTATAACAGTGTATTAATGTTATTTGCACAAAAATAATAATTGTTGAACGGTTAATAAGATTGGAACACCTTTCTAAATAACTTTTATCTTAAAATGTAGCGCAGAATAAAATTATAATCGCAATAAAAATAAAACAATTATCTTAGTTTAAAACTCTTGAATGAAAAGCGTAATAATAGAAGTACAGGAAAATAACTTCAATTTTGGGATACAATAATATTTATAGAAAAACGATACCTTTATGATTTTTATGAATCTTATGCTGATGACAACGAAAACAATATGGAAATGAATGAGGTAAAACTGGATCCTACCTCATGATTTTCCGGCCAGTCAAAATGCAATGTAAAATTGCTACACCATCATTAGATTTCTATATATAGTACGAAAACAAAAAAAAATAATAAGTTTATTTTTTGTTTCTTAAGAACAGACAAAGAAAATTGCATACTAAGGTCATTCGAATATTTAGGGCGAATTCGAATGCAGATTATCTCTTTTAATCATGTGTTGCCAGTTTACTGCAGAAAATTTATTACTGTATTGAGGAGTTTCTGCATCTTAACGAACCTCTCACCAGTTTTTTAGTAAAAATAGGCCGTTTACAAAATATTTAATGTTGAAAATGAATATTTCACATAGTTTTTATTTTTAAGAGTGGACTTTATAAAAATCTTCCTCTGAAAAACTTAGTCCTATGAAGAACAACGTCTTGAATTCAGACCTTCGAATTTAACACCTTGAAAAACTTGTTTTTCTTTTATAAAAGCAGGACCCTGACACAAAAGAACAAATAGGTATAGTTTGTCTAAAGTAAGAACTTCCCTCGCCACAAAGTCTGAGGCCATATGTTGCTATGGAAACAAGAATAGCGCATTTCATGGAGGGTAGCTTTACTCTAGAGCTAACTCAGTAGTCGGAGGAAATGGATTCCCTTTCTTTCGCTGAACCGAGTCAAAACCTGTCCTAAACAATGACCCCTACTTCAAATAGTTGTACCTTGTTACCATAGTCACAGCCACGGAACCAGAAGAATGGTTAGGGGACTTTAGTCAAAATATATGTCACCCCTTATCTGTAACGCAGGTCTCAACATTAACTACAGTGTTTATAAAGTCTTGGGATAAGAAATCCCACCTATTAGAAGCTTCTGGAAGAAAGTGAAAAGCTGAACATTTTCAGTAAAAGCCATCCCAGACCTGCTCAATAGAATTCAGGTCGGAGGTCTTCATCTCCATGTAACGCAAATGCGAGTTTGTTCCATCACAATGTCCTACACGAAGGCTAATTTCTGCCATGAGTAACTTAATCCAGGAGTTCTCTTTTCTTCTGGAATAAGTTCAAAATTACAAGGCTACCGAGTTGAACAAAGGTAAACGTATACCCAAAATTGAGTCGGCTGTTAAACGGTGGTTATAAATAAAGGATGGTTGAGGAATGGTGAAAATTTGACAAGTCGTTTTTTAGGTTGGTGACGTCAGAAGACTGCTTTCAGACGCCTCGGTTTCAGTCCTCGTATAAATAGGATACTAAAGTTTATCAGCGAATGGAATGGCCAGCCAGAACTCCAAACCTTAATACTAATGACCATGTCGGGACTGTTAAGTCGTAACTCAACAAATTCACCCAGAAACCTCCCTTGGTTAAGAACTGACCCGGAAGACCAAATAATTTAAATACCATAACTGAGTGAGCTTTACAGGAAAGAATTTGAAACTCTTTTATCCAAATTATGTCAGCAGTTAAATAATATTTCTGAATTCCTATTTAATGAAATATATTGTTTTTTTTTCATAGATTACTTCATAAGTAATGCGCTAAAATGTAAAAGGTATCTGAAAATAAGTTAACTGCTTTCTGTAGCACTATTAAAAAAGAAAAAAAAATCTCTGATTTTAAATTCCTTTGAATGGTTTCAAATGTAACATACTAAATGGAGCTGTATTTTCAGCTAAGTATTGTGATCTCTACGTATAACCCTATATGTACCGGGTATTTTTCAATATACATACCGGGGGATAGTCCAATAACAATTTCGATGACCCACAAAGAATGCTAAATAGAAGTCAAATAATAAAAAGATACGGATTCCATCTTTTCTTCGATTAGTCTCAATAATTTTACACGCTGTTCAAAAAAATAACTTCAAACAGTTGAAAATCTAGAAATGTCTCATTAACATAAAATAGAATATCTCAACTCAAATTTTTCTCTTCGAAGTTATAGCTTTTAATTGGGAAAAAAAGAAATTTTTATTCAGCCGCAAGAGCATAAAAAGAAATAACAGATTTTGAACAATTTGGAACTTTAACATCGAAAATCTTTTTCTTTTTTTTTTTTTAAATTTTATTTCACATCTAGGGAGTGGCAACAGTTTTTGAAATACCAGATAACGGAATTGAAGCAATTATACTCCATAAGTTCGTGAATGTGAGAATCTTCTTTGTAATAGTCGAAAAAAAATCTGAAGTTGCTAAAAAAGAGTTATGATCTTGTGTGAAAAAAAAAATCTTTAAAATGTCCCGGAGGTTTAGAATTTCCAACTTTTTTACAGACATTCCTAAAGGACCTGTCGAAGAAACTGGTGTTGTTAATCAATGATATCCCTGAAAATACATTGTTTGAAAGAATTCTTGTTAAGGCGATAAGATAATTCTAACAGTTAAAATGAAACTAAGAAATATAATCAACCTCGAGTTCCCGTTTCATATATTTTTTTTCACTTATTTCATCTAATTTCTTTACTTTAGAAAAAATTTCTAGTGTCATTAAATCTGAAATTTGAAGGAAAAAAAAATTTTTTTATGGTGAAGAAATTAAGCGCTTTGGTTATTTTAACTTTAACTACTATTTCGTAATCCTTGTTGAAAACTCTAATTTTTTTTACAAATATTTATTTATGTAACATGAATCACAAATATTTTTGGGTAGATAATTTTTATTAAAATTTAAAGTTTAAAGTTTTTTATTAGTTTCAACTTTTTGAAAGAAAAAAAAATTGTTACCTCACGAAAATCGCGAAAAGTTCTGGGCCCGCCATAAGGATTTCAAATTATTATCCAGTAAATTAACCAAATATCAGAAGTATTCGCTAATTTTCGGAACTTTTCTTCCAATGCAAATCTAAAAAATTTCTTATGATTAATTTTTTCCCCATAGGAAACTATATTACTATAGTTTGTTTCAGTCTTATTTTGACCCATTGATTCTAATTGGTTATGATTATCGAAAATTACAGTAATCGAATAAAAATATTGATTTGTTTCGAAAAATTCATTTTGACGTAATTTTGAGGATCGAATTAAATATATATTTTTCTTTCCAGTGGAAAAAAATCTTTCACCAAAACACATTTTATTCGCCAATTTATGATTTTATCTCATTTAGCAAGGTGGTATTATGCTTAGCGCGGGCCCTGAAAAGTGTAATCTAATATAAATTACGTAAGAGTAATTTAAAGCATAATCTACTAAAGTTTAGAACCAAGTGGATTCGACTAAAAAATGCTTGTATCCAGTTTAAATCAATAGCCAAGAATGCGATATCATCAATAAAAATAATTCGGTGTGTTACTGTCCCAATGGAGCCGGGATAGCATGGTCGGTAGGGTGCTGGGCCCATGTCCGAGAGTTCGTTGGTTCGAACCCCGCCGTCCGAAGACTCCCCTTGTAGTAAATGGTAGCTGATGCACNAAATCCTGAAAAGTTCAGGGCCCGCTCTAAGGATTTCAAATTATTATCCAGTAAATTAACCAAATATCAGAAGTATTCGCTAATTTTCGGAACTTTTCTTCCAATGCAAATCTTAAAAATTTCTTATGATTAATTTTTCCCCCATAGGAAACTATTTTGCTATAGTTTGTTTCAGTCTTATATTATTTTGACCCATTGATTCAAATTGGTTATGATTCAATTGAATCATAACCAATTGGTTCAAATTTTTGAACACACACACAACCACATTGGTTCAAATTTTTGAACGAAAAAAATTAGTTACCTCACAAAAATCCTGAAAAGTTCAGGGCCCGCTCTAAGGATTTCAAATTATTATCCAGTAAATTAACCAAATATCAGAAGTATTCGCTAATTTTCGGAACTTTTCTTCCAATGCAAATCTTAAAAATTTCTTATGATTAATTTTTCCCCCATAGGAAACTATTTTACTATAGTTTGTTTCAGTCTTATATTATTTTGACCCATTGATTCAAATTGGTTATGATTCAATTGAATCATAACCAATTGGTTCAAATTTTTGAACACACACACAACCACATTGGTTCAAATTTTTGAACGAAAAAAATTAGTTACCTCACAAAAATCCTGAAAAGTTCAGGGCCCGCTCTAAGGATTTCAAATTATTATCCAGTAAATTAACCAAATATCAGAAGTATTCGCTAATTTTCGGAACTTTTCTTCCAATGCAAATCTTAAAAATTTCTTATGATTAATTTTTCCCCCATAGGAAACTATTTTACTATAGTTTGTTTCAGTCTTATATTATTTTGACCCATTGATTCTAATTGGTTATGATTATCGAAAATTACAGTAATCGAATAAAAATATTGATTTGTTTCGAAAAATTCATTTTGACGTAATTTTGAGGATCGAATTAAATATATATTTTTCTTTCCAGTGGAAAAAAATCTTTCACCAAAACACATTTTATTCGCCAATTTATAATTTTATCTCATTTAGCAAGGTGGTATTATGCTTAGCGCGGGCCCTGAAAAGTGTATTCTAACGTAAATTACGTAAGAGTAATTTAAAGCATAATCTGCTAGAGTTTAGAACCAAGTGGATTCGACTAAAAAATGCTTGTATCCAGTTTAAATCAATAGCCAAGAATGCGATCTCATCAATAAAAATAATTCGATGTGTTACTGTCCCAATGGAGCCGGGATAGCATAGTCGGCAGGGTGCTGGGCCCATGTCCGAGAGTTCGTTGGTTCGAACCCGGCCGTCCGAAGACTCCCCGTGTAGTAAATGGTGACTGATGCACGTTAAATCTGTCGAGTCGCAAAGTCCTCCATGTTCCCGTACAAATCAATACCTCTGAGGGTACAGGATTGGAGATTGATCGTTCTCTGATTCAGGTCAAAATTACGATATGTGTTTGAATGAATGGGTCCGCCCTATAAGCGGATGTGACGTATGGGTGTGGCAGAAGTCGAATCGCCCTCTGCCGCTGAACAGGCATACGAAACCAACCACCTAACTGTTCCAATATGTTTCCCAAAATTTTAAGGAACTCAAGTCAGGTGATGTTGCAGAGTCATCGAGATATAACAAAGTATATGAGTGTTCATAAAATCGGTCACACGTTCTTCCAGTCTAGTAAGTTTTGAAGTTATCTCAAGAGATAAAAAAAACCACTACATACTCATCAGACAGATGTTGACTGATCGGCAACATCAGACTACCCCGAACGTGCTGGCTCATGTTAGAAGAAAACACCTTAATACACCACACCCCCATCTTAGGGATGATCAATTTTCTGATTTCTTTAAGGGTGACTCGTTTTTTGTCCGGTTATTTTATTGTGATGATAAATACAACTATTCGGTTTGCAGGCTCTGGATACTATTTTAAGGGCCCTGAATTTGTGCTCACTGTCAGAACCCGCTTGTGCGAGATACCATGAAGAACACGGTGACATATTGAAAGATATGGATGATTTTGATGCTGCAGAAGAGGTAACTTCATTATCTTCTCTTACACTTTCCTCTTGGTTGCACAATTTTCCCACTCTCCACACATTCCCTCTCTCCGTTACCATGGTTGCAAGCAAGTCTTGCTTTTATTCCAACTTATTCGCATTATTCAGGTCGGCGGTGTTTTGTTTTCATAAACTTAGTGAATTATCACACTCATTTCATTCCGATGAAAGCAATTATTTCTTGAATCAGTTGTGAACTCATGCACCATGCACTGGATCTTCCCCACTTCAATTCCTGATGATTATTTTACAGATTTTAAAGAGACATTTCCTGTACAACATGTCTTGTCTTAAAAGCTTGAAATACGTGATAAGAAAAGTGCAACACATTTTCCGTATACCATTATACAAATCTAGTGGACTAAAAATCGAGAAAAACCTCCATTATCTTATATTAATGTTTCTGTTTATCGAGAAAAAAAAATTTTCAATTTTAAAAATATGATGCCATAATTCGGTTATACGCGAGGCTTTCAAAATAATAAAATACTCCTAGTGCTATACGACTATATTACCCTAAATGACCGAAATCAAGAGGATGTCGACATTCAGTGGTGAATCACATAGTCGATTATTTGAACGTCCAAAATATTTGTTACATCCGATTCGATTTTACAAAACGTATTCAATGCTAACGATATTCGTTGATATTATTATATTGATTCGATATTTTATTATCTGCTGAAGATAGATTAGGAGAAACATTAGTATTCGGAGTACCGGTTAAATGTGGCACTTGACCTTAAGAAAACATTAACGTAAGGCATACCGGGCAAATGTATACCGGGCAGTGGCATTTAACTAGACCTAGTATATACACTCTATAACAAAACAATCGAAGCACCAAGAAGGAGTTGTTCGATTGAAGCGAAAATTGGTGGACAGGTAGACAATGTACAGAATAGTAAATGATTAAAATTTCAGAACAATTGAATAATTTATTGCAGAGTTATAGTAACAAGTTCAATAAGGTGTTGACCCGCCTCTAGCCTGGATACAAGCTGCCACACGGCGTGGCATAGACCGATAAAGCTCCCGGATGGTCTCTTGCGGTATTTCCTGCCAAATTCGATCCAATTGTCGAACGAGGTCATCAACATTCCGTGCCAGATGCAATCGCCTTCCCATCATATCCCAGACATGCTCGATGGGAGAGAGATCTGGTGATCTGGCAGGCCAAGGAAGAGTTTGACAAGCTTGCAGACAGTTCATAGCAACACGTGCCGTATGTGGTCTGGCATTGTCCTGCTGAAAAACCAGCCCAGGGCGCTGCAAAAGGAACGGTAGCAAAACAGGTCTTAGGATGTCGTCGACGTACCGCTGTGCAGTAAGTGTACCTCTAATGACGACCAAAGGGGTCCGGCTGTCAAAGGAAATGGCACCCCAGACCATAATGCCTTGTTGAGGGCCGGTGTGGCGTGCAATAGTGAAGGCAGGATCCCCCCTCTGCCCTGTGCGTCTCCAAACACGTCTTCGATGATCGTCAGGACACAGTTGGAAGCGGGATTCGTCGCTAAAGACTATACGTAACCAGTCGGCATCATTCCAGCCATATCTGTTCAAAACTTTCATGCATACGAAATTTCAAAGCAATCGGATGATTGCTTCTTGGTGCGTCGATTTTTTTCTTATAGAGTGTATTTGGGACATTTAACAAAGCGACTATGTGATTGTCAACATTCACTAGTGGAAGTCATCAACCACCGAGCAGTTTCTACACACTATGAAGATTTCTAGATCAATCGGGATTTTACTCAGTGTTATAGAGCAATTTTATACAACTTACTGAGGTTTCTAGATCAGCCAAGGTCTTACTCAGTGTTATAAAGCAGCTTCTACCCACAATCGGGATCTTACTCAGTGTTTTGTGCAATTTTCGAGTTTAAAATATTTCTATGTTGCAGTTCTTAACATCAAGGTAGCCAAAGCATGATAACAATTTTACTAATTCTATGTTATTTGTTTAAAAAAAATTATAGTTAGTAGGTTTTGAGATTTATATTAATGCAGCATTTATGTACTTTTGTTTTTTGTTTAGAGTTACAAGATGGCGCTGAACTTGGATCCCAAACTTGCCAAGACGCATCAAAATTTAGCTGTCATCTACCACATGAAAGTAAATATCTACAGTTTATACAAAAAAAGTGCACTATTTTTATTTTCTAGTTATCCACATTCCGCTTTCATCTAAAAAAAGCTCATTTTAGGAACTAAAACTGTGGCAAACATTTTTAGAATTTGAACTTAAAAAATTTAATAAACATTTTTATAATTCATATGATGACATGTTTTAAAATTGTTTCTGAATTATGACTTGATAAACGCAATAAAATTAATGTAAAATTTAGAAAATACGAAATTATTGTCACAGTGACAGTTTTTCAGAATTACAATTCAACTGATATTTTTACAATAACTTAAATTCTTGAAAAAAATTTAAAGATTCACAGTTTTTTAAAAATCCGAAAATTTAGAGTAACAATAAATTTTTTTAGAGTTATACTAATATTTATATACTGATGACTTGATCTCTAAAACCAAGTTCATAGTTTCAAAATAAATGTATTTTAGGGTTATTTTCATATCCTTTAAGCTTTAAGAGTTTCGGCTCGACTATTTATTTTTTAGAATTATGACTCATAAAGCTCTAAAAATTAGTTAACTGGAACTATTTGAATCGGGGAGCCGTAAAGTAAGAACAGTTAATTTGTGATTAAACTTTCTTTCGGTTATGATTCAAGAAACAGTAGAATTAGAACCAAATAGATATGGGTTACCCAAATAAAAAGTGGGAGCGTATGATAGCATGAGAAATAATGTAATGACAGCAACGCCACCATCCAGGAAAAAAAAGGTAGTGGTAATAAAGGTTATTGGAAAATAAAGGTTATTGGACTCAACTAATTTAATAGCATCACATGACAACACTTAAAAGTGAATGTAAAGTAGAGTTAAGAAGGATGCACCCAGAACAGCTTGAGGCAAAATGTAATCAAGACTATTCCTTCGCATTTCATTCTTAGTATAGCAGAAATTGCATGAAACTCTATTATTCGATTAACTGTAGCCATTCGTAATAGATCATAGCGTTTTTTTTGACCTTAGTGTTGACAGCAAAGCTAAGGGCAAGGTGGCAGAAGTCAAATTCTTGGCCATAGATGGCGCCACTGGAAAACAGGAACAACCGCACCCTTCTGCCTCGACATACGATTGCATGCATGCGTAATACAACGTGAATGAAGCACAAATAAAGTACAGAAATAAACGGACCATATTTTCCGTTCTCTAAACAAGAACCTTCCTCAGTGTCTAAACACCAAATGTCAGTAGATAAGTAAAAAATGTGCAGAGTGATATAACCAATGGGAACAAGCTGAAAGAAGATAATAAAAAGAAAGGTGATGAGAAACATAGGTGAGAGAATTTGTCTTTTCCTGGGGCAAAGAATTAAATTAGAACAGATTTTTAAATATTGGGAAAGGTTGCGATATTAGAAAGATCATTAACTAAATTATTAAAGTGTTTCAAAATATGGTGTGATTCCCAAAAATCAAACTTGGTAGATAAATGAATGATTTTGAAGAAAACTCAAACCTTTGATTATTTTTACTATAAAGGGATATTAAACGATCAGAATATTGAATTATTCTTACAATGAGTATTATTACACTCTTCCTCAATGCTTTGAATACTAATTTAATCTCATTACGGAACCCCCTCCCACCTCTTTCTTATCTTGGTCAAGTTTGTTCCTATTAATAAAACCACTCAGCAAGCGTTTATCTTTCTTATCTTCTGCTTCTCGACTGTCATTAGACAACTAAAGAAGGTTCTTGTTTAGAGAACCAAAATTATTGTGTGTTCCATTTTTGTGCTTTATTGAACTATACGTTCACTTTAAATACTTTCATGAAAAGTAGTTAAGCAGTTATGCGTCCTGCAGTGGACCGATCGTAAAGACACGGTTCCCAGTAGAACACCGAAGTCAAGCATCACTGGCTGCTGTCAGTAAGCGGATGGGTGGTCACTTTGATCAGCCTGGGACCGAGGGTGTGCGGTATAGGTCCTAGAGTCCCCTTGCCCTCAGGATAACCATGGGAGGCTCTCGTGGCCTTCCTCTCCATGTAACGCAAATGCGGGTTAGTTCCATTAAAAAGTTCTCCACGAAGGCAACTTTCTGCCAATGTTTGATCCATGAGTTCCCTTGTCTTCTGGATTGGGTTCAAAATTACAAAGCTACGGAGTTGAACATTAGTAGTCGTAAACCCAAAAACATTGGGTCGGCTGTTCAACGACGGTTATAAAATAAAATGTCCTTACATACTCTCTTCAGAAGAAATAAGTTTGTTTTATTTTTTTTAGGGAAACTATTCATCTGCTCAGTACCATTACCAAGAAGCTTACAAACTAGACTCCTCCCCCGAAATCCTATTGGACAATATGAGGAAACTACAGAGACGTATATTTAATGTGCAAGAAAACACGTGTTGGAGGACAGACACGACATGTATAATAGAGTAAAATTTTCTCAAGAAAGTGTGAAAAAAAGAATGTGCATCCTATACGTGACAGATGTTTCGCCAGAATTGGCAGAATTGTTCACTGTCCCACAAAGTGAAGGGTCTTAACAGACGCATTTCCATTCTGTTTCACGCCAAAGATTGGCGAAGCTGAAAAATATGTTCTTCGCGCATATATACCTTTTTTTATTGTTATTTTGTTGAAGGCATCTGCAAATTGAGTGGAGTTTTGAGAATTACAACTACGAGTGAATCAAATTTGTGATTTGTTATGCTGAGAATAAGGTCAACTGCAAATGAATGAATAATTTAAATGTTTAATTTTGATTTGATGATAATAGCTAACTTCATATGTAACATCAATTATTCTTATTTTTTTATGAAGATCTATTCATCTGCAAGTATATTAACAATCACCTTAAGTTCAAGTTTAATATGAATCTTAGTTTCTAAGCAAGCGTTACGCATCACAAAATATTACTTTTGAAAGAAAATTGCTTTTTTGTAAATATTAAGAAGAAACGTCAATTAAATTCTAAGTCATATAAAAACTCTACAAAAAAATAAAGTATCTAAAAGTTTAACTTTTTATTTTAATACGATAAAATATCAAATATGCGAATATTAAATTGTTTTTACTAGGAAACTAAATATTGAAAAAAAAACATGTAAAGCTTGTGTGTCTTACATTTTTTTTAATTAACAATTAATTTATCCAAATTTCAAATTTAATTATTTGAAATATTATACCTACTCAAATTTCATACGCCGAATCATTGAAAAAAAATTGATTCGCATAAATGAAGCCTCTTCTTTAATTTCTATTTTAAATAAATTAAATTTAAAATGTTAAGTTAAACGAAATATTAAAATATACATTCAAAACATAAATTAAGCAAAATATCAAAATTAATATCAGTTCCATAGTTTTACATCTAATTTTACAAATAAGCATTTAACATAAGTAAACATTTAATTTCTGATAATCAAAAATTTCTATTAAAATCAGTAAATCAGTAATAAGACAAAATTTAATTTTAATCTCTTATTTATTGAAACAAGTACAAACAAAATCATTTTGAAAATATTTCTAATCACAAAACGTGATCCATTTCAAAATGAATTTTTTTCTCAGTTATTAGCATTCACAATTCAGAAAAAAACAATATTCAAAAGAAGTTAATGAATGCGTAGCAATTAGAAACGTCTATTTATGACTTTTTTTAAAAAAAATATTGAATTTGTTCTCGAAGAATGGCAACACTGGTGGAAGAGTAGTTTGTAAGAGATAGATGCATGTGTTGTTTATATAATGATTTTGAATATTGTGTGCTTTGAATGTGATGGATTGTAAAAAGTGTGTTTTAGCGAAACATGAGTAGTTCCTATATGCATGAAAATTTTGAAAAATAATTTTCAAAATAGCTCGAACAATCGGAAATTCTAATTATTTATAACCAGAGTATATAATTTGTGTTAAATTCAAGATTTTTTTTTCTTTCATAAAAAAATGTTTTCTGTAAGACTGTCGTCTGCATGGTGATAATCAAATACGAAATTAACTATATCTTTTTTTTACGAACGAATTTACTATATCTCCTTAAATAAAAATGACGTAAACAAGTTCTTTTTTATACAAATAATTACATATTTCAAAAAGCTTAAGGATAAGTTCCTTTAATCTGTTTCAAAAATTCAGTAACCGTGGTATAATTAAGAGAACAGGCATTTTATGGCTGCGCGATTGTACCACACTTTTTTACCTCCTTTACCATGTTTCCGGTAAATGTTTTTTTCCGCTCAGTATGTTTCAATAAAAAGTTGACAGCCGTAATGGCTCAGGGAATAGACCCATCACCTTCCAATGAGGCGAACTGGGTTCGAATCCCAGCGATGACTAGTCGATACGAATTCCACATCCGGTTTGCACCGACCACAGTGCTGATATAAAATATCCTTAGTGACAGACGGGTCATGGGTTCAGAGTTCACTTGTCGTCAGGCTAACCGTGGGATGTTCTCGTGGTCTTCCTCTCCATGTAACGCAAATGCAGTTTAGATCCATCGAAAAGTCCTCCTCAAAGGAATAGTTCTTTCTATACTTGATCCAGGAGTTCCTTTGTCTCCTGGATTGGGCTCTAAATTACAAGGCTACGTAGTTGAACATTAGTAGTTGTGAACTCGAAAAATTGGGTCAGCTGTTCAACGACGCTTATAAAACAAACTAAGAAGTTGAAATATATCTGCGTTAGGGCAAAGCAAAATTTGCTGGAATCATGGTAAGGGAGAAAGTGTGGTGAGTGAGAAAATCGTGTAACCTTCAGGCGCCAATTCTTTTTAGAACAAGTATAATTATGTTATCATTTCTACTAATAATTATTCCTAATAATCTAAGTAATGCATAAAAAGTAATTTAAAAGCAAAATAATGTAAAAAATTGTCCATGCTCTATTCAGGAAAAATTTTGCGACATGAAAATTTTTAATTGCCTTTAAAAATGTGGGAATTTCTACTAACCTAATATTTTATTTGAATTCTATAAAAATTAAGTCGGTTTTTTGTTATCAATTTTTTTTCTCGAAATTAAAACTCAAAAATAGAATACTCTAGAATGTCACTCACGAGAATAATGTAGTACAAGAAGACTCTCTAGCCTCCAAGATCTATTTATGCGAAATTTAAGTATGTTAAAGGACCTTTAACAAATTAGTTTATCGTAAAAACGGACCCTCCACAAAATATTTTTCTTAAAAATGGAAGTTTCATAACAATTTTTCTATTTTAAAATTTTTGATTCTTGTCGGTGACATTTTTAATTCATAATTGTAAAGCTTCAACTACTTTTAAAGCAGCGTTTTAAAAAGTACTTTTTTAGCACTTTTACAACAAAAAAAAACAGTATTTTAAGAAAAAAAATCCGATCTCCCAGTAATTTTAAATTCGGAAGATAATGAGTAAAATTGTCGCAAAATCATAAAAAAACAGGACCCTTTTTTCTCAAATGCATAAATTTATAATCTGTCTACGACTTTATAATTTTATTATTACTAAAATTTATCCTAAATCTACTATATAATATATTCTATTATAAAGAAAAATTTTCAAATCCTTTTATTAAACACAAAATTATTTATTTGCATTAAAAGAGAGAAAGTGGCGTAAACTTGAATCTACGGTGTTTTAACTCATTGCACTTTTTCTCGGTTAACAAACAGCATCGATTTTAACAATTCGAGCGCGCTTCACTAACTCCAGTTTTTAAAGAACACCCATTATCTTATATTGGAAAGTATTTATGTATAAAAACTTAACGTGGTTGATAAATGACATTCTGGGGTATTATTTTTGTTTTGTTAACTAAACGAACGAATCTAATTTAAGAATTCTGTGATACATAAGAAATTCAAATTGTATCAGTTTATTTCCGATGAATCTTGAGTAACTTTTAATGATAAGAAAAGCACTTTTACGAATTGGAAAAGTTTATTTCTTGTACCGAGTTTATTTCATTACTTTATATTAATTCCAGCAGCAGATTGAAAATAAACGATTGATCCAACTTTTACCAATACTTAAAAAGTAATAAGAAAAATATTTATGAGATAAACTAATTTTTCTAAATTAACGTTTATTTTAATTTCTGAATGAATATTGCTTTTATAAAAATGCGTTTTTAAAAAACATAGTATAATATTCATTTGAATTTAAATGAAGAGTTAAGAAAATAGTAGTATGTTTATATTTAATCTTTTAAAATTATTGATAGGTTACTTTTTTACCTTTTGCTTATAAAAAAACGGTTTTAAAATAAAAATTTATATTTTCTTTTTTAATGCGTATGGTAATGTTGCAGATATTTGTGCATTTCACATTTTAAAACATTCAAAATATAAATACATTTATTATGCCTTAAACCGAAAAAAATTTTATTTAAATTATAATAAGTGTTGTAGATTTATTTCCGACAAAAATAAAACAAAATTAGATGTTTACGATATGTTATGGATGTCTTGTGTATGTACTTGGAAACCAGTACACACATACTTTGAATTCTTATCCTTTAATTTCATAATATGCTTAAATTTATAAAAAACATTTTTTTTAGGTTTAAAATATATTATTGCTGTTTTCGCTGTGCTAAGAAACACAAACATTTTAAATGATATCAATAAATACATCAGAATTTTAACGCCATAAATAATAATGTGTAATTTCTTTTTAGCAGCAAGAAACTAAGTTTTATTATACATTAAATTCGATGATAACTGATTTTGAGTGTACGCATGGCAAATGCTACATTTATTTTTATCCGTTAAAAATATTAAATGGATGTATATTAAGAAAAACATTTTTTTCAACATCTATTGCTGCAAAATATATGGACACAATTAATGGTTTTTATTTTAATATCTTTGGGGGGTATTTTTTACACATTCAGAAACCCTTCCCCATGTGGAACATTCTAGAAAATCTTTAGATGTATGAAACTGTGCTAGAATACTGATGTTTATATAATAATTGGCTGTTTTGTACATGAATAAATAATCCGAACGACGACGTCACAAAAAAAACATTCATTTTAATCGTTATTTATATTTGTATACATAATATTGAGGCTAAAACAAAATCCGCGATTTTTTGTGGTTAAAGCTACAAAGGACTCTCAATTTTTCTGACAAATCATTATAGAAATTATTTTGAATAAATTAATTCCAACTTTTATATTTTCGAAATGTACATCATAAGCTACAAGTCGTGGTGGCTCTAGATTATAGAACATTTGCACTCCAATGAGATGAACCGGGTTCGAATCTCAGCGATGGCTAGTCAATACGAACTTCTCACTCGACTCGCACCGACCACAGTGCTGGCGTAAAATATATCCTCAGTGATAGACGGATCATGGGTTAGAGTCCCTTTTGCCGTCAGGCTAACAGTGGTAGGGTTTTGTGGTTTTCCTCACCATGTAATGTAAGTGTGGGTTAGTTCCATCAAAAAGTCCACAACGAAGAGAAATTTCTTCCAATACTTTATCCAGGAGCTCCCTTGTCTTTTGGATCAAGTTCAAATTTACAAGGTTGCGGAGTTGAATATTAGTAGTTGTAAACCCAAAAATTGGGTTGACTATTCAACAACGGTTATAAAATAAGCTACAAGTCACCACGTGTCATAATTAGAGGACGAAATTTACGTACATCGAACAGTAAGGGGGGGNGGGTAAAACGATCAACTTGAATTTTAGCGTCGTGTGTCAGAAAAATTTTGAACTTAAACCAAGAACTGGGTATAAAATTTATGTACTTTTACAAGAATTTGCTGCACTCTTTTTTTTCTTTCCTTTAACTTTTTCCTATTATATTTTCAAATCGTCTGATTTTAAATAATCTATAAATAGAAAATAAATTTTAACAAATATATTAAAATGACTGATATTTTGTGACGTTGACTTTCGGGGTTAAAAGAGAATACTCCTTTGCTACAAAAGTTGGCGACGAATAACTGCTCAAAACTCTTTTTGGCTGCAAATAACTGTAAAAGCTGGACTGAAAAATACAATCACAGCTGATTTGTTATTTATGGTACACATGTGAGCTTGTTTTAAAGCTTCATTAATTTTTTACATGCTGTTCGT